CTAACAAGTTTGCAAGTGAAATTGATCTGCAGGTGTATGGAACATATTTCAAGGACCCCCAGTGTTGGGAAGTTTTAAGGGATGGTGCAGGAACCCAAGGCTAATAGCACCTAAGCTGTAACCATCCTGAGATCTGGAGAAACAAACCTATGTAGGGTGTAAATTGGAACTGAGAACAGGAGATAGATTTGTATAGATCAGGCCTCATAATAAGAAACTGGCATTCCTTGTAGGCACACAGTCAGCTCAAGCCAACATCTCAGGGAGCAAGGAGGGAAATAAATATTCTGACCTCACTCTCCTCCTTCCCTTGGATCTCTTACTGGGAGCCCTGTTGATTTACTCCATGTAAGACAACCTCCCAATACAGAAAGCATGGTGGAGAAGAGCTGAGAGTACATCTGGAGGGTAAAAAGAAGATTTCCATAACAGATAGACAACAACCAAATGTGGAAGTATTATAAATATATTATATAGTCGGTGCTTTATTGTTAGGACAATGGAAACTACTGATAGATTTTATGTGCGAGAAAAGCGTGATCAGATTTCTTCTTCTGAAACGACATCGTAGCTGAATGATATAGATGATAGATAGATAGATATATAGATAGATAGATAGATGACAGATGATAGATAGATAGATAATGGATATATATATACAGATAATGTATTAGAAAGGAAAGATCCTCATATTGGGATATTATTCCAGGTAACAGTGGAGATGGAGATAAGTGAGCAGGTTTCAAAATTATTTAAGGACAGGGGCCCTAGGTGGCTCAGTCAGTTAAGTATCTGACTTTCGCTCAGGTCATGACCTCATGGTTTGTGAGTTTGAGCCCCGTGTCCTTCTCTGTGCTGACAAGGTCAGAGCCTGGAGCCTGCTTCAGATTCTGTGTCTCCCTCTCTCTCTGTCCCTCCCCCATTCACACTCTGTCTCTGTCTCTCTCAAAAATAAATAATGATTAAAAAAATTATTTAAGGACCACACTCAACAAAACATGATGGAGTGAGAAATAATCCAAAAATGACTACTAAATTTTGGCTTAGGGAACCTATTGAATCATCACTCCATGTACTGATATAAGAAATTCTTCAGAAAGAAAAGGTTTAAGAAATATAAACAATAAATTCAGTCTGGAATATTCTATCTTTGAGATGCTTATGAAATATTTAAGCAAAAAATATAACAGAGGTAGGTTGATATATGCATCTAAGGCTCACGCCTAAAGATGCAGAATGGTGAAATTTCAGTTTGAGCATGGTAATCAAGCTATGAGAGAAGATAAGCTTATCCAAAGAAAGCAAGGAGAGCAAGCAGTTTAGGATATTTATCTGATTATCAGGAAGAGTTACTACTTTGTGTTGAAATTAGCATATTCATAAATATGCAAACCAGGGTGAGGTTGTACAAAGAAAAATATATTGACTATAATCATCATTCTAGTTTAATATGACTCATGCTAAATATTAATAACCAAGGCTTGGTTGGCAATATGAAACATGAGGAAGGCACCAAGAAAGTGGATACTAGGACAGAATAGTACTCTACTAAAGGAAAAATAAAAGGTGAAGTGAAAGATATGGCACTAAGAAGAATAAAATGATTCAGTAACTTGAAGCCCTCATCAGTGGTCTCAATCCAATACTACAAATAATTTTCTTTTTTTTTTCTTTTTTTTTTTTTAATTTTTTTTTCAACGTTTTTTATTTATTTTGGGACAGAGAGAGACAGAGCATGAACGGGGGAGGGGCAGATAGAGAGGGAGACACAGAATCGGAAACAGGCTCCAGGCTCCGAGCCATCAGCCCAGAGCCCGACGCGGGGCTCGAACTCATGGACCGCGAGATCGTGACCTGGCTGAAGTCGGACGCTTAACCGACTGCGCCACCCAGGCGCCCCTACAAATAATTTTCTTGAGAAACAAATATCAACTGATAGAATTCCCCTTACTATTCCTTCATTTTGGGTGCCATCCTCTTTTATGCCATAGATCTAAATCATTATTTCCTAACCTTCATTTTCTACTTTTAATTTCTTTGAAAAAAAAAATAGGCTACGTATGCAAAGGTTTGTTGCTGGATATACATTTGTATTGGTATGTGCAGGATCCATTCTACTTTCTTCCTGGATAAACACCCTAATTTTCCTTTAAAAATTCACAGTTCCTCAAATCTAAATCTATGTGGTTTTAAAAGGGATTCACCCCACCTCCTAATTTCTTGTGTGAATATATTGCCTCCAAGCTATCCAATGAGAATAGCACTTCTTTCCTTTTTATTTTTTTTTTATTTTTTTTCAACGTTTTTTATTTATTT